GTAATAAATTTTTTGATGAATTTAGTCTTCTTCATAAGAATTACTGTGATTTAATGTAAAGTAAATGTTGCAATAATTGCATTGAGTTTTACATAGCTATTAATTCAAGCATTCAATGCTATTACGCAATTATTGAAACGTTATCAGGATTAGAAAAAAAGCCGTTATTTTGTCCAATGTTTATTATTATAATGACAATGAATACTTATAGACATTATTTCACAGTGGTTTAGAATTATCTGTATTAAACCTATTTTTGACACGGAACTAGTAATGTACCGTCTAAAATCTGCAATAAATGACCGGCGATCTCTAAATCACTTAACAGCTCTTGCAGTGTGTTTTGTACGGTGGCAATGTTGGTTATTTTTTCATACGTGTGAAACACGTAGAAAGTACATGAAAGTAGAACTGTCAGTATCGGCAGGATAATGTTCCCAACGTACGTGATTTTCACGTAAGTGTTATCGGTTAACAAGGTGGATATGAAATGTGTTCCAGATAAAATTCAGATGTTAACAGCTAAATTCTACTTGTGTCAGGTAGCCTCACAACCAACAATACTTTTTTAGATCTACGTGATTTTTCACGTAATTTTGACGTGATAATTATTTTGAGTGTATTCTTTGCACCACACATACCAATGTTGCCTGCTGAACAGTTGAATGAACCTAATCATAAGACATCAGTGACTTGAATCATTAATCATTTGTTGCTTACATTTGATTGAAAAGTGGTTTTCAACAACGTTGTAGCTGAGAAAATTTGCTATCATCTATATATATTTGCTAAATTTGAAAGAAATCACTGCTATCATTTTTAAAAGCATAGTGATGTGGTGAATTGTTAGATAGATATGAACAAAAACATAAATTTTCCCATAGTAATTAACAGTATATAAACTCGAAATGGTTTGTGCTAAGTCAGTTTCTTACTAAAGTAGTTCAAATTTTGGGAGGCTAAGCAGGACCCAATTTAGAACCGTTTAAGCACGGTGGAGCAAAATTTTGCATCAATCTAATGTCCAGTCTGCAAAGATTCGTTAATAAGGTCCAGCAAGATGTGGCCAATGGCATGAAAGCAATCTTGAATTATTCTAGCATCAACATTATCTACTCCAGCGGATTTTTCTAATGAAAAGCAAATAACTCTAAGTTCATCTAATTTAATTGGAAAACCTTCAAATCTACAACTACTATTAACTGGCTGTTTTATTTCGTCAGGTTCATCGACCAACTCAATGGATTGATTAATCAATGAAACACTGTCGACAAAATTATCATTAAATTGACTTGTTTTGAATGTCATTAACACTCCGAATACGGTGGGTAAAATACTTTACGCCGACTACGAAGCCTCCGAAAAACGTGTACCAGCATGTTTGCAATGACATAACTTAGCCATTTCTTGATGAATTTAAAAAAATTGTGGTACCTCTAGAATTCCTAGACTCTGTAGATTATTTAAATTGCAGAAAGGTTGAAAATAAAGTCGCCTATTTTTTCAAAAGCGAAAAGAGTCGTTACACGTTTTATAAGGTGTGTTTATGGGTTTTGCAAGTGTCTTGAGATCCATAATTAAGATTCAATGGCACAAATGTTCATAATTAGCCAGAATGCAGTCGTGGTTCCTATATATGGCCTGGAGATAACGGAAAGGTCCTCGAAAAATCCGTAAAAGTGGTCTATCTATAAACCCTTGATCCTAGAACTCCGTGGTTTTTAGAAAACATTAGGAACTGTGATATAAGAAAGAATTTGGGATCATGACATAAACATGGACCCAGGTGTTCATCTGACCGTCCTCCGGAAGATCTGGAACATCCTTAAAAATGGCCAATTCTTGAAACTTCTTGGATCAGTTTTACGGTTTTTTTTTTTTTTCTAAAGCATTGAGAACTGTGATATAAAAAAATAATTGGGATCATGACATAAACATGTACCTAGAAGCATAGAGGTAACTCTAAGACCACTGGGTCCCGAAGAAAATCATTATTATTTTTGGCTCACTCAGTACCAGAACAACGGTCCCAAGCAGTCCCAAGCTATTTTACTCACCCCTGCATGTTCTGCATGAATCCACACACCCCTGATGTTATCTGTCAAACTTTCATAGCAAATCAAAACAAACATAGTGTAGTAATAGAATTTCAACTAGAATAGGGTACGTTAATCGTTTGCTTGGGACCAATAGGCTACTAAAGTGGTGAGTCAATTTAAAATCGTTAGTTTCGTATTGATTGTTGCTAGAAGGCCGTAAGACCATCCTCCGGAAGATCTGAAACATCCGTAAAAGTGGTCAATTCATGAAACTGATGCTAGAGCTCCGCAGTTTTAGAAAAAAAAAAAAACACTAGGGGTTGTTATGATAGAATGAATTTGGGGTCGTGACAAACATTGACCTTGATAGCTATGAGACTGTCCTCCGAAAGATCCGGAACATCACTAAAAGTAGTCAATCGACTGATCCTAGATATCCTAGATCTATGATAAAGTATTTAGGGCTATGACATAAACATGGACCCGGATGGCCATGGGGCCGTCCTCTGGTAGGTCCGGAACATCCGGAAAAGAGGTCAACCAATGAAACTGATTCTAGAGCTCAGCAGTTTTTTCAAAAACATTAGGAACTGTGATATAAGAATTTGGGTTCATGGTATAAACATGAACCTGATCCATGAGTTCCACGGTTTTTTCGAAAACACGTGGAACTGTGATATAAGAAATAATTTGGGGTCGTAACATAAACATGAACCCGAATGACCATGAAACCGTCTTCCGGGGGATCCGTAAAAGTAATGCATCGATGATACTGATTCTAGAACTTCGCGGTTTTCTCGTAAACACTTCAAATTGTGAAGTTTTTGAAAAAAAAACACGGTTTTTTTTCACAGTTTCATGTATGAAACACTTTTACGAAAGTTTCGGTACTTCCAAATGACGGTCATCCAGGTTCATGTTTATGTCACGACCCCATATTCAGTCTTATAACACAGTTCCTAATATTTTTTGAAATAAACTGTGGAGCTCTAGGATCAGTTTCATGGATTTACCAGTTTAAAGGATGTTCCAGATCTTCCAGAGAACGTTCTCATGCACATCCAGGTCCATGTTTACGTCCCAACCTATTTTTTTCTTATATCACAGAATCAGTTTCATGGATAAACCAATTTTACCGATGCTCCGAATCTTCCGAAGGATGGTTCCATAGCCATCTGGGACCATGTTTATGTCACGACCCCAAATTATTTCTTATATCACAGTTCAACGTATTTGCGAAAAAATTCGCGGAGCTCTAGGATCAGTTTTATGAATGGACCACTTTTATAGATGTTTTGGATCTTCCTAAGCACGCTCCCATGGCCATTTGGGTCCGTGTTTATGTCATGAACCCAAATCCTTTCTTATATCACAGTTCCTAATGTTTTCGAAAAAACCGCGGAGCTCTAGGATCAGTTTCATCAGTTCAGTTCCGTTGCCTCCAGGATCCATAAATAGGAACCATGACTGTATTCTGTCAAATTATGAACATCTGTGCCCAAATTTATGGTTCTTAGGCCATTTGCAAAACCCATAAAAACTCCTTTTTAAAAAAATACGTGTTACGACTCTTTTCACTTTTGAAAAAAGGAGACGACTCTATTTTTAATCTTTTTACAATCAAAATAATCTACAGACCTTAGGAAGTCTAGAAATATAACAGTTTTCAAAATTCACCAAGAAATGGCTAAGTTATGCTATTGCAAACTTGCTGTTGCACGTTTTTCGAAGGCATCGTATTCGGAGTGTTGAAGACTTAATTTCTGCATGATCCGGGAGAGCGAAGAAAGCGCGTGTGAGTGATACACAGCAAAAAATTAATTTTGATATCACATCAAAGTGGATGCACTTCAATCGTGTCGAAAATATAATGTAATATTACATGCCAAAAAGGACAAATTATCATTATAAGAGTGCATGAGCTGACATTACGCTGATTTTACTGCATTTATTTATTTGTGTGGCCATAAAAATTACATGAGATTTTCATCATGATTGAAGTGCATCTTCATGGATGTAATATATGTGTAGGTGTTGAGGTTTTTTTTTTCAATGGAAAGCAATACAACTTTATTATCTTGCATCTGCTCTTCATACAAGAGTTGATGTAGAGTAGAATCTGATAATCAATCTTGAAGAAAAGTGTCGGGCCCGCCGCGGGGTGGGGACTGTTTTGATTGGCGTAGGACTAAGTCTTTGTGGACCATACTGGGGTGCAATCCAAAAAATTGTGAAACGAAATAGTGTTACGTTTTAAACGCTTATAACTTGCCCATTTATTGATGGATTTAAATTCTTTTCACACCCTTTGATTCAGAATTTACGTCAGATTTGTTTGGTTTAAAGCTTTTAAAATAATAGAGCATTCAGAATTCCACATTTAGAACATTTAATATTGATGGGAAGATCAAACGGAATTTTCAAATATTTCAATCTCGAAAACTGCATCCTGGAGCCCCGGGAAAATTAAGTAGTGCAGGAGTTAGCGCAGCTTCTAGAATTGCGTAAAAATATGTAACTTGAAAATTTGAAGGGAATCCATTTGAAATGTTTTAAAATTGTCCATGAATATCTTAAAATATTAGTTAATCAATTAAATACTTACAACACAGGCAATCAGCTCAGTAAGTAACGAGGTTATTGCTAAGTCATCTTTTGTCTATCTTCTTCATTCCGAATTTATATGCTTCTCTTGTGAGAGTATTGCCTGCTCTCAACTATGTGTTTAAAGCACATCTTCGGTAATTAATTGAGACCATGCATGGAAAATGATTTTATGAAAATGAAAACAAAATCCATTTGCCGTTTGGATTTCGCGTCAACTGTGTGGGTAGTCAAAATCCGGACTTACAAAAAAAATTACCTATCCTATAGGTAAATAAGTGTACTGCCCAATCCTGCCTACCAATGCCAGTTCAGTTCTCTTTCTCTCCGTGTACCATCAACTCAAAACATTTTGCCATGTCACTTCACATCAACAACCTGCCGGATGGAATCCTCCGTGACATCCTGGACTATCTTCCTCTGGACGATCGTAAATCGGCATCCCTGGTGTGCCGCTTGTGGGACCAGGAAGTCTTCTCGACACGCCTGCTGACAACCGTTCGGCTGCGAGTTTCCTGCATCATGATGAACCACAAGGAGAAGTCCCTGGAGGTGCTGCAAAACAGTTGCCGTTCGTATCGGAACCTGTTGATTTCGCTCTGCGGAAGTGGAGCCTGCAGCGATATTCAGTTTGCGTTCATTGTGGACGTTTTGGATAAGTTTGGATCTACGGTCGAGGGTTTCACCATGATCCGAGGCTGTTCCTCGGTCCAGCTGAGAGACTTTGTCACCAGGATGCCAAATTTGAAACATCTAACGACGTACGTTACGGAAGCTGATAATCGCTCAACGGAACGACTGGAATTTCCAGTTTTGACGAAGTTGTTCGATTTCGATGTGGAAATTAACAGTGATGATGTGTTTAAAAGAGGACAGTTCGCAGTTCAGCAAATGGCACCGAACGTGGAACTGTTGAGTCTTACGTTCGATAAATGTGATGACCCGGAGTGGGTGTTCAAGGTTCTGAAAGGCTATGCAGGTCAGTTGCGGTCGGTTGATATATTTACACCGCACAATCGGATCCCGATTGATGAGCTGCAGTTCAGGCGATTGCAAGTTCTAAAGCTTCGAGGAAGGGCATACAGCTACGGCGATGCCAAGCTGCGGAAACTGTTTCATGGACTTCCACTGCTCAGGGAAGCCTATTTGGATTTTGTGATTTCGCGATCTATGCTAGAAATTATATGCAAAAATTGTCCGCAGTTGATGACCCTCGATATCAGAACCGAAAGTTTGGAAGAGCGGTCCTTCCAGTGTTTCGAAGAACTGACGAATCTGCAGGTGGGATGGTTAGTGATAATTATGACTTCCTAATTAATAACTGTGATATTCAATTGTAGGTTATCATCGTAAACTACCTTCGATTGAATCTGATGGAAGACTGCAGACCAGTAATGAGCGTTCAAAAATTCCACCTACATACGGATGAAACCTACCTGACCGATGAAAGCTACATCGAGCAGTTCCACAAAGTGTTTCCAAATCTGCAAAGCATCAAGGTGTACTTCCGAGGGTTCCGCACCAAGATCATCGATCAGCTCCTAGTTCGCCAAATCTGCCGGAAGTTTATCCACCTCAAGAAGCTTACGCTGAGTGGCGAGTTCTGTCTAAGTGCCACAATCAAGGGATTCGAACTGCCCGGCGATCTGGGAAATGTGAAAGAATTAACGCTCATCAGAGCAAACCTTTGCATCAGCCCGCTTTCAAAGAACAGTGTGAAGCGTTTGAAGCTGGAAAGCTTGGACCCAATCAGTTTCAACGTTTTTCGAATCGAGGAAGTTTTTCCCAAGCTGCGGTACCTGGAGATTCGGAGCTGCAGGCAAATTACACCGGATGTGATTACGGACATCCGGCGGAGCGTTCCCGACTGTGTGGTACATTATGTGCACATGGAGCGGAAGTGGGTCTACTACTGATGGCGGTAGTACTTGCTTCACATTTCGATGGGTCAGATATGACTTATGTACGTTATGTTAGCGGGTATGTCAAGTCTGTAACGGAACAAACAATAATCTTGTTGGAGAATATTAAAGCTTATGATTTGCATTAAACGTACGGATTGATTTATTAGGTGTACGGAGTTCGATCCCCCCCAGGTACTCTACAACAACAACTCATTGAATGGGCAAAGGTTACTATTCGAAATTTTCACGAATGAACATCCGTACATAAATATATTATACATAAGGCATTAACAACATATGTAAATACAACTTCTTAAGGATCACCTACGCAAACCAACAATCCTACCCAGAGTGTCGTTAGAGAAAGTGATGGCATCTCATCCATTTGACAGATAATTGGATTGACATTGTCCAAGCCGTTGATAGATAATATAGGTTTTTTCAATAGCAATTCTCATACAAACTTCAAATGGTTTTTTCACAGTCAGATTTTTACCAAAGGAGGCTGATTAATACCGGATTTGGAACAGCTTAAGCTCTGAGTAGCTAACATGTCAAATTGTGCATCAGTCTATTGTACACATGATTAATGTCATCAATTTAAAAACGCTTCTTTCTCCCGCTCATTACGTTGAAAAATGGTGGTGAAGATCCTGAGTTTAAGAGTTTAAATCTACAACTTGATAGCTAGAACCAGAAACTGTTATCTAGAGAGAGTCTACACGAAACGAAAATCAATTATTTTATTCCTGTGTTTCACTTATACATTTTTGCCAAAACATCAACCTTATACATTCCATAAGACAAACCACATAGGTCCTATAAGAATGCATAAAAGGTATGTGTGACCGCTTATACATTTCATTTGACACATGAGCTTCAATAACTTTTTGCAAGGCGTCTGCTTATTAGTTAATTTATACATTTTATGAATAATCAGCAATAGAAATTTGCCAAAAGGTATAAGGAGATTTCTATCCGTGTAGTATATACTATGCTATATACAATACTCTCTCTACTGTTGTCCAGTCTTGTTTAAGGTACAAACACTTGCCCTAGTAGGCGTAGCGGGTTCCGTAATTTTTAAAGCATATTTTCCATCAACTGTCAATGTGCACCGATAACTTCAAACATGTTTGCAAAATCGCTAATTGGCAAAATATTCATCCCCCGAGGATCTACTCGCCACATCTACCATAAGGCCAATGGATCTGTGATTGCATTTCCGTCTTCAAATAAAATCCCCCGAAAGGTAAGCTATTTCAAAGTACAAACATCATACATGGCAAATATCCACTGCTTGAATGCCTCCCTTCTTGTCCGGACCTCCCATCCAGCACATCTACGCCATGGCGGCTGGAATGTTCGTGGTCTGGGCATCAATGCCGTGTGTGGCTGTCTACATGATCAACGAATACCGGAAGAAGCTGGGCGATGAGTGAGCCCCATCTTTACATTGTTAAATTACCGAGAAACCTGTGAAAATAAAACCAATCCTATTTAACCTTCGATCAATACAAATCTGTTTTTCTACCCTTCCGACACGGTTCATTCTCCGCGGTTAAATTGTGTGGAAATCGTTCGGTGGAATTCCGAAGAATGCAATCTTAACCGACACGACGACGACGACGACGAGCAGGCTGACCTTCCTCCGATGGGTTCCTGCTCGACGGTACCATTTGATTGTCCGGCTCAGTCGGACTCCGCCCGCAACCAATCGATTCCGTAGCTGTGAACGTTTCACAATGATGGCGCATCCAATTGGTCCATTAAAGCTTCCAAGCATTTGTCCCACTCTCCTTCGCACCCCTCGCTCAAGCACACACACACACACACGGTTTCATTAGCCACGGCACCTTGGCTTCGGATTTCATTAATTTTCCTCAACCCGATTGCTGTGTGGAACGGGAAGCCCCCCTACCGAGCAGCGCGCAGCACGATCATTCTAGGAGAGCATCAGTCTTGGCCTTCGCTTCGCAGCCCATAGAGAAATGGTGTGACGAATTAATTACAAACAACTAAAGTGAACTTGTTTCGGTTGAAACTTGCCTCTTCCTACCCGCTGCGTTGCAAGCCAAGTTTGTTACTGCCTGTTTCTAATGCAGAGCTAATTTCATTAGTCATTGTTCGTTCAGCAGCATCTGTAGCAGAGATTGGGAAAAGGGGGTTTCCCGCAAGGCGATTGGTGAACTGGATTGTAGAAGGGTTCTAGGAAGTATCGTAATTTCATGACATACCTACCTTTAATGAAAATCAAGTTCAGATAAAGTTTACCTGTAACGGTATTTTTTTTTCTTCTTCGCAGCTGTTAAAAAACACTTCCTGACCAAACCGCTTAACACGCTCTTGTTCGACCGGCTTTCAAGTGTGTTGCACCGCACACCGACCGGTGAGCGGCACCCAAATCGCTGTTTCGCATCTGAACACTTGTTTGATAATAGCCGTGTTTAATTAATTACCTGTACACGAATCGCACGAACACCTCATTTGGCCCCTATTTCCACCGAGCTATTGCCACTCTATACCTACAACAATCAGCAGAGTCTGCAAATGGCTTGTTCGGAGTGGTGGAGCCGTGCGGTACCCGGTGCGGTGACAGTCACTAGTCTACACGATTGACGTGGCTCTGCACCCTCTCCCAATCCCCGGTTTCCATGCCTGGAGAGCTAGTTCAGGCGGGGGCCAAGCGATAACGAGACCTGATAGAACATCTATAGGGGGTTTGGTAGTCCCCGGTGCGGTCACTGTGGCGACGCCACACTGTTCGTTGGGTGATTGTTCACACATGTAGTGCATGCTAGATTTACACGTTGAACAGTGATTGATTGCTTTTTGGGTATTCGGGGAACCATGAAGGGAGATAAACTCGTGTTTTGATTTTTCATTTGCAATCAAATCGGTTTTTGAGAGTTTGATGAAATTGAAGAAAAAAAAGTATAGTTTAGGTAGGTATAGAAGTTACGGTTGATCTTTATGAAAGGATTTCCCTTAACTCTATACAACTATTGTATTACCAAGAGTTAAATAAAAAAATCCGGTCAAACCAGTGCACATAACATATATGGAACTCGGTCATCAAAAATCGACCCCATTTCAGTGATTTCAAGTGGTATAGTAGGACATCGATCTGTCAAACTGATTATACCAGCTGTAAAATGGTAAAGGAGATCAAGTGGGTAGTCATTATTATTAAAATAATTCTAACGAGGTTCATGATTCTATGTCTTCTTATCACTCTTGAACTCTTTGTATTGCCTTAGTCATTTACGTTCTTTATTAATAATTATAAAACTAGCTATAACATATGCTTCACACAGCATAACAATAAATTAACGTTTGCATAAAAAAGTGGACAATTTTTGCCGATTTTTTAAGCGATGACCTGCCACATAAGAAATTTAATTTAAAGCTGCCATGTGTTAACTGTTTACAATTCATTTTTGAAAGCGATACGTATTACTTTTTTGTATTTATGACCAGAACTGGAGAAACTCCAAACGAATACTTGTTTGTTTCTTTAAATTTTGGTGGGTAATTTTTTTTTTCAATATTCTTTCTTTATGATAAACTTAGATGACAAATGTATCCACCTTTTTTAGCTGTGGTGGAGCTTCTTCTTCTTCTTCTTCTTCTTGGAAGTAATTTGTAAAACAAACAGAAATCTCTGGATATTGTGTTTTGAGTTGACTTTGCATCTTTCCATTCGCAAGAATTTTGCCAGAAGGACAAATGAAATCGAGCGCCTATCGATCCCTGTAACATCCAAGGTTTCAACCCTCTCTATGTTTCTCAATTGTGTACAATTGAATGTTTCTGCTCAAATCCCTACACAAAGATCTACTGACTGGTTATCTACAATATGACTGGTTTACAACGTGCTTGATGACTTCTGACCGACTTGAAAACACGCGTTAATAAATCCTTTGATAAGCCCCCTGTGCCCTAAAGCTAGTCTAAACAAGAATGGCCGCATTACTTTGACATGTCGCCTTTTCGGTCACTGTGTAACTCTTTACTCCTATGGTAAAATGCGAACGTCAGCCTGTGCGTGAAACATGTAAGACATTTTCTTAACCTTCAACTCCAGTGAAAAATCCCATCTTAATCTTTGCATGAAGAATTAGCGGCGCTGGTGGAGTGAAGAGATAAGGCAAAATCCTCTAGATTTAAAGCACATATTGACAGATGTGATTTTATCATAGGAGTAAAGAGTTAAAGAACTGCCCTCAACGCCAATACTTACACGTTATTTAAAACTTACTCAAATTTGGGTAGAATCCTCTCAGATCGCTCACAACTGAACCTACTCAAAAATGGGTAAACTATGTTGGGAGTGACATGTTGACAAATGGACAACATTGATATAGATCCGACCGACGTTGTTCAGTTGTTAACCTGTCACTCCTAACATAGTTTACCAATTTTTTAAAAGTTTCAGTTTTATTTATTTAACCACCATCTTTAACATTTTAGCCATACAGTCTGTTTAAAGTGACTTTATCCTATTCTTAAAAACTGGTCTACTTATATTAAAATCAAAAACATCACACACATCATTAAACAGTCTGCAACATCTATCGAGAGGATTGTTATAACCGTAAGCAGTACGATGTCCGGGAGTCCACAGAAAGTAATAGTTGCGAAGACGGCAAGCTGCAGTGTGGAAATTGATGTTCCCGAGCAAACAACTGCAGTCAATATGATTACTAATCATGTCAAATATGAACATCCTCTGGAGAAAGACTCGGCGATTTGTGAGTGTTCGCAGTCCAATAAGCGCACATCTATGCTCGTACGGAGGTAAGCTATCTGGATTTGTCCATGGCAGACGTCGTAATGCAAACTTTATAAACTGTTTCTGGATTCTCTCGATGCGCAGTACATGAACAGCATGATATGGAGCACAAATTTGTACTCCATATTCAAGAACACTGCGGACCATAGAGCAGTACAGCGCTTTCAGGGCGTACACGTCGTCAAATTGTGCAGTATTGCGGCGCAAAAATCCTAGCATGGAGTTGGCCTTTGGATATGTGCTCGTTAAACCGTAGTTTGCTGTCCAAGATGAGCCCAAGATCCTTAATGGCATTAACTCTTTCCAGCAGCGATTGATTCATACACCGAAAAAAGTTTTCGTATAGCTTCCATTGCGAACGCACATGATGTTTTTCCAATAACAACATCAATGATTTTTATCTGAAATTCACATAACATTCATATGATCACATGAATTATATGTGATAAATCACATAAATTTCATTGGACACATAACGTTCATGTGATTTTGTAGTGCGATTCCAAATTATGAGATCACATAAATGTTATGTGAAATTCTAATGGATATTTTCCATTGGAAATGTGATTTATTTTTTGAGTGTAGAGCAAGCAAAAATGATCGGAGAGTGAGAGCGGGTAAGGGTAATCACTTTGCATTCCATTTATCTGACAAAAGGATGACAATCGTTCTATATCAGCTTGTAGTGCGCAACAATCCACGATCGATTTGACCGATCAGGGTGGATTTTACTCAAATTTGGGTAGTTTTCAAATAGCTTGTACTGAGAATGCAACCAAATATCTGATTTTCTTTCACAAGGGCCAATGACACAATATAAACACTGACTCTTGCACGAATTTCTTGAGAAGGAAAACTCGCGCAAGTAAGCCACCACGATGGTTGTGTATAGAGAACGTCCCCAAAGCTGATAGAATTACTGGGTTACAAGGATTGGCTTTGAATTACAAGATATTTACGAAAAAAGCCATTGCTTACGTTTAAGACATTGACCCACATGAACGCTCAGTGTCAAATCACGAAAATTTAATGTTGACAGATCGATGTCTGACTATACCAGTTGTACTACTGAGGCAACACAAAAAAGGGGTCAACTTTTAGTTTAGTAACTTATGCACCGTTTCCTGAACATCTACAAAACTTAGGTTTTACAAAATTTCCTCAACTCTTACGAAGCTCCCTGAATTTATTCCACATTCAATATTTTTTTTTCCATTTTTTTCAAATTCTACAAAGATCGCTGAACATCTTTGCACTGCTGGAAAGACATCTAAGACACCTACAAATATTTTTGAACACCTAGGTACTTTAATTTAGCGAATTTCCCAAAACCTCCAAGAAGTTCATGGAGCTTTTTTGGAGTAAGATCTTTGTAAAACTGCAACGAAGTTCCCTAAACTGAGGCGAAGATCCCTGAAGTTCTTAGAAGTTTATTGAACTATTTTTAGATCTTTTAAAAAATTCCCTGAACTTTTTCAAAATTCCTTACACTTTTATGAAGTTTTACGCAGCTCCTCAAAATGCTACGAAATCCAAAAATCTTCTACAAAGTTTGCTGTTGAATTTCCACAACTATTCCATGAGGCTAAAAAAACTGAAATTATGTAGAGGTTCCCGATCAATAATGAGCTTCCCTAAAATAAAATAATGTTCCTTTAGCTTCTACGCAGCTCCTCAAATTTAAATGAATTCTCTACTACTACGCAGTTTTCAGAA